CCCACATGCGCATTTTTTCAGTGTATGGTTCTCTGGTGGCCACGCGCGACTCGCGGATCAGTTTCTTGCGCCGGGCTTGCTTGCGCGCTGCCTGCTTGGCTGCTGCCGCAGCCCGTTGTGCGTCAGCAACGTAAATCCGGCTTCGCTGCGCTATGTCGCCCGGCGCAGCCTAGGCTTTTATGACAAACGGTGGCTGCTGCTGACCCCCTCGCCCCAGCTGGTTGTCCAGCGCCTTTGGCGCATCATCGCCGCCGACACCCTCGAAAGCCCGTCTGCGTCGCCTGCATTCCCTGCGTCGCCCGCGCAGCGGGCGCGCTGGTGGTTGGGTGGGTGGGTGGGTGTGTGGGCATGGCATCTATCCTTCACTCCATCCATCCATCCATCCATCTGCGTTTAAGACGTTATTCAGCCCAAGTTTTCTTCCGGAGCCTTGCGGTCATGCCAGAACGCGCCGTGGAGGTGAATGTAAACCATGGGCCCCTCCACCTCAACCAAGTCGACCTGGAATTGCATCAAAAGTTGCTCGTCGAACGGCTATCATAGATCTTTGAGCCCCAGCACCATTTTGAGGCATGGCCCGAAGAGGGTGGGCGAATGTGTAGACACTTGGCAAGCCCAGATTGCGGTGACGCCGGCAAACATTCAAACATGTTTCGCCGTTCCTCGCCCCCTCCAACTATCACAGAACTTAACAATGCTGGGGAGGAAGGGGTAGCTGTCACCTCCACGCGGTTGGGGGCATTAACAACAAATTGGCACTTGGAAGGGCAAGCGTTTTCAACTGGTGGCCTGAAAAGCTGGCTCCCTGACATCTCAAGCCTCGCAGCTTGGCCTCAGCGGAGGCCTGCTCTAAAAAACCCAGAACTATTTGGGGCATCTGTTCAAATAAAACCGCAAGGGAGCCACAAAGCTATTTGGCTACCAGAAAAAAGATTGCAAACCTTCGGTTCCTGTCACCGAAGCTTCCCTCCCAGGCCCAGCCTTGCCAGTGATGCCCGCGCCCCTGGGACGTCAGCCCAACGACGCCGCGTTTGGGTTTGTCTTTGACCACTGAACGTGTGCAAACGAATTGTCGTGTTGCGTGTTACAAACTGAACTCGACAATCTTCGAGCGGCTAGCAAGTCAAAGGCCAATCCAGAGAGTGATTTGGAGCGGCGCCTTGGCAAGCGCCTGTGTCTTTCTGTTCCCGACATACGTCGTAACTCAAAATATGGCTTCAGTTGTGAGAGTAATGGCATGTCAAAACACAAAACTGGGAATCGTGGCGCAGTATCATCTTTGAGAAAGACAAACACACCACTGCTTGGCGCATATCCTTTTCCTTCCTCGTAGAGCCACAGTCGCCTTGTTCTAGAAGTTGCGGCTTTACACTGTTCGTGCTACAAAGTGCTTTGGTGCAGCTGGGTGACTCCCGGGTCCGTGCCTTGGACTGCCTTCATCTACCCGATGGCCGCTTGCACTCAGCCCAGAGCACTGAGTAGAACTTTGCGAAGGCAAAGGAAGGCCGGGGGGCGAAGCGCGTGCGGAGAATCCATTACACTCATCCGCCAATCCATTGTGTGTTTCCCCGGCGGATTAATTGTTCGCCGCCGCAACGAGCGAGCTCCGGCTCCACCTGAATCAGCCACACACGTTCACCATCTAAGCCTACAATATGGGGCTGGAGATGGTCCGCAGGCGGCTGCATCATTGATGATTGCCTACAGTACAGTTCTGAAAACGGCATCTCTCGTGTAAGGGCGATGCCTGAGTTGCACTTCTCCAAGCATCCAGATTGCGAACCCCAGAGCGCCCTCTTTCACAGGCGCCCTTAGAAGGCTGGCAATGGTTGGCACTTCCCTCCACGCCATTGCCTGCAAGGCCTGCCCGCGCCAGTTCTCCACCTTGGCCATGTCCTGTAAAGCGAGGGGCAAGGAGCAGCCAGGCTTGATCATGGCAGGCAGGTCAGTAGGCAAGCATGCTCTCCAAAGCAATGGTACCTCACCAACCTGCCCGCCTGCAGGACTCCACTAACCCGAAACACCGACAGCAGGAGCGAAAGAAACAACTCGGAGAAGTGCGTCAGAAGCAAGGCGCAAGCTCGACTAAACTCATCAAAGTCAACCGCGCGAACAAAGCTCGGCTTTGCGGCTGGACGCTCTGCCAATCTTAAGCAAGACTACGTCGAACAAATTCTGGGGAAAGCCTGAACACAAGTCCCAGAAGCCTTGCGAAATCGCCCAATCCATTGCGTCTCTTAGGTTCGGCCGCAGGCGCGAACTCTCCTCCACATAGCCGAAGCAGTTCTGTAGGTGATGGTAGCGCGCCTCCTGCAGGACCACCTGGCAGGCGCCCAGGCCCCCAATCTTCGGAATCACTCCGTGTTGCCGCTTTTTTGGGTTTATCCGTAAGGATGGGTCAGAAAGCATCAGCTGGAAGATTTCCCTCGAGCCACCTCGAAGGATCAAGAAGCGCACGTCTTTCAGCTTTCTTTGGAATTTGAGAGGCGACGTTTTGGCACCCGCGGCCAACTGCTAAAACGTTCAGGGGTTGGCGCAACATGAGCCAGTGTTTTGCTACCGATGAAACGCTGTAAACTTCATGATCATTACATTGACAAGTGTAGTTGCAGCCCCCTTGATGGACATCATTTACGCGAGGGGGGTTCGAGTTGTGGCCGTATTCCCCTGTCAAGTTCATACGCAAATGGCAGCAATCCACCTGGCAGAACCTTCTCAATGGCGCCACCTGGGTTAGTTTGGGCAAAGTCAGTCTGAACATCGCGTCACATTTTTTGGCTAGAAATGTCGGTGCGACTGTTTTGGCGCAGCCTGCTTTGAACGCAACCCCCGAGAGACGAGATCAAGACTCGTGTCAGCGGGTTCTGAAAAGGTCTTGGGAACACCGATGCAAGTCATTCACTCAAGGAAGTTTCGGAATAAAAGGCTAAGCAAAATCCATCTTGCCGTTCCCTCGCGGAAGGCACGAATAGGGGGACCTATTCAATGTTCCCTCAAGCTTGCTTGAAGGCTTCCTTCAAAGGGACCAACTTTTTGGGACACCAGCGGACATGTGCAAATGCAGTGGTTCGCACCGCTTGCACCTCTACATTCTCCTCGTCCAGGGTCAGGGGCGGCCCAATCTGCGCCCCGCCCGCCACTGCAGGGCGGACCAGGCGGCCCTCACTGCGCGGTCTGGGAAGGACCTGGGCGGGGGCTTGGCGTAATTTGAACAAGGAATCTCAACATCGGAGGGGTATGGACACGACACATGTTGCAAGTTGGGCCCTTGCTGCTGGACGTGGATGATTCCTCGTGACTGGGATGGTCCAAGACTAAGAGAATCCCAAAGGAAACTCTCTGGGGTTCCTTTTGTTGAATACACTCAGAACATGAAAACTGAGGGCGGCAAAACGCGGCAACGTACAGTTGGTGCGAATCTGTTTCCTCTAGAACAGCGACAGAAGCGCCAGCAAGTCCTTTCTGAAGCTTGGCTTCCAGACAAAGACCATTCCTGAGAAGAGAAGTAGTGGCAAGCCGGCCCGCATGGCCGGCATGGCCCGCGTTGTTCCCATGGCCAGCAAAATACAACGGAGCTGCAGGCTTCTCAATGTGTGGACCTGCAGTTGCGCCCAAGCACCTAGCTCCCGTTTTAAAGGCAACCTGAGCGTAAGCGTGCGAACGCTTCTTCGTTCCCAAGCTAAGTTTACGGGTTCTGGCCACGTCTGGGAAACTGTGCCAAATGGCAGCACCGGACGTGGGCTTGTTCGTCAGTTCTTCTTTTCATTAGAATCAAGGGTGAGTTGAACTAGGTTGCAAAGCTGATCATCCGAGAACAGGTCACCGCGAGGTACGTGAAGCGAGACAGGGGGACAAGCACGCCTGCTCAAGAACCAGAAAAATAATTCTTCATTCACTTTCGGCACAGCTGATGCAATTCCGAGAAGCTATCTTGACAAATCCATGTTCATTCTTTACATGTGACGGAATATCTGGCTCAGGTGTTCTCATAGCTAAGCAGGACAAAGCTCCAACGCCAATGCTTGGATGCGCTATGTTCTCAGGAAACACTGCTTTGTCGCGACTACATCGCAAGCATTGCTTGTTGCGCATCTGGGATATCACAGTTCCAGCGCGCAGTACGCGTCCTCTGGTTTTGCCCCCAGCAAAAAGCCTAGCCAAAACGCAACGATGGCAAACTGCACGGTTCCTTTGGCTTTGTAAACGAATCTTTTCAACCTGGGTCTGCCCCCGCGTGAAGCACAGAAAGGGGCTTGATTAAAGGAAAGGGTGGGTGGACAATGTCGTCACAGTCCAGGAGAACTGGCCGCAGCACAAATAGGCGGGGGGGGGGGAGGATGATAAGGAGAGCCAGGAACCCAAAAACGCAGCAGCGCAAGTTCAAACTCAACCAACTCGCAAAGAGCAACACAAGAAGCAGCAAATGTTCCTTGCTTGGTGAAGTAGAAAACCAAGGGACCAAGGAAACCACGCTCGAACACAAACGCCAATGATCGCTGGGATTCGCTCAGCCCTGTCGCTTGGCTCGCGCTCATCAAAAGTGAAACCAAACAGAAACAACACCGAAGCACACGAAACACTATTAGCGTGATCAAAGCGCTGCTATTCTGGGGTCAGCCTACCAGAATGAAGTTGTATCGTTCGTGCGCCAGTGAGCCCAGAGACAGAGAGGCGGGCGGGCCGTCTGTTTGCCACCGCAAGGATGGATCCGATGGAGGCGCCGGGTATGCTTCGGCTTTTTTGGGGGGAAGGCGTAGCCAGAACAATCCTACCAGATCACAGTCTTGGCGGCCCTTGAACTTTTGGACGGCGCACGCCCTAGCACGTTGGCTTTCCGGCCATTTGTGTCTACCTGAACCTGCCTGAAATCCTCCCCCGTCCAGGGCTCTCTGAACACGGCCCCCAACACCCTCCTCCGGACGTTCTCGCTACGCCTCTGCAACGTCTCTGGCAGGACCCTTGGGTCTACCCCCCTGTGTCTCACCCGCGAATCCGAGCGCCTCTCCGGCATTGCCTGGCACAGGAACGGAAAGTTTGGGAGTTGCAAACAAATAGTGCTCAGATAGGTTGCAACTGCCCAAACTCTTGCCACCCTCCAAACCCACCAAGTTCCGGCTTCAGCTTCCCCCGCTACACATAACCCTGCTGAAGTGGAGGGCGGGTTCTGCAAGGCCCAAAAGCTCCGAGGAGGTGCAAGCGAACAGGCTGCAGCCTATCAGCCAGAAAGGCTGCTCAAGAAATTGAGCCCCGAAATCTTACAGCGGGACACGCAACGCAATTCGCAACCTGGCCCTCCTGGCTCCGAAGAGGAATAGTCAAGTCTGATTACACCGAGGTTTACGAGTGAAAGACCAACTGACAACCCAGGAAAACCTAAGGAGTCCAAGCGGTTCACCAAAGCTGGCTAGAATGATCTCGTGAGTACACATGAAAGCAACTGCGATTCCTTTGGCGGCAAGGGCCGGAGTGTGCGGACGGAGTCCCTCACACGCTGGTGGCTGAGACCGACTGCGCCTGTTCCAGACCTTGCCTTGAGACCGACAGGAAACCGTTACGGGACGAAGAACTACCAAAACATGATGGGCTCAGCGTGGCTTCCTGAGTGCTAAACACGGGGTCCGAACTACGCGTCCGCTTCCTTTAAGGGCAGCCGAAAACATGACGTAGAGTGATTTGCACCCACGCAAGCAACGCAGCGGCTCCCTGGTTCCCAGCCCACCTCGAAAGCCCAAGCCTCTGGCGGGTAGCCTCCCAGACATACGGAAGTTGCTACGTTGTCGATGGCCGCTGGGTTGCTCATGTGTGCCAAAACTGAGAATCTGCCTAAAAGCAAACCATGTTTAACGCCCCTCACCTATCTCAAGGACACGCCCGTTCCGGTGCTGCGCGTGGCCAAAGAGAAGACCAAGGCCCGCCCGGCTTCTCAGGACAAACCTGAAAACTCGTTTCTTTGTGATGAGCGCCACATGTGCTCCCTTCAAAAAGGCTGGGGAGGTCGTATTTTGGAAACATCCGCGCAACATGACTGGAAGCAGCAACCTCGCGCTACGCCCGATAAAAACATGAAAAAGTCATGGTCGAAGAAGACTGGTCGATTAAAAACCTTGCACCTAAAAGGCCACCCGTAGCCGACCAAGCGAAAACCCTTCTCTCTGGCAATCGCCCAGCCCCGGCACTGCCGCCTGTCATCGAACCTCTCTGCTCCCAGCCTTGGCTCGGAAGAAGACAATAGTACCAGGATGCGTTGGAGAATCTAAAATGAGATCTTCTGTCGATGGCACCTGGGCATTTGCTGTTTAGGTTTCATTAGGCAACTCACGGATTTCAGCACTCGTGCCCAAACCGCACTCTGCTGCCCAGCGGCCAGCAGGCGTGCCATACAGATCCGACACCTGGCCGCTGCAGCGAGATTGATTTTCGACTTACGAAACTTGAGCAATGCCTCCCTGGCTCGACGCCTGTGTTCCGCTCACGCGGCCGCTGCTGCGAACAAAACAAACTGGATGAATCCTTCGGTCTTTGAGGTTGCGTCTTTCTGGATTCCGACTGCGCCCGTGTCCGTTATATGATTACATGGACCCTTGAAGAGGCTCTGCAACCGAACTCCTCTAAAGCAACTCGCCGTCTTGCTTAGAAGCGCGCTGTTGGGATGTGTGTTGGTGTTGGTTCTTCAACATCCACCGGTTGGGGTGGCTCAGCAGTTGCTGGCGACGTCGCGCGTCTGACCCAGTCTGAGATGGAAGGCGTTTAACGCCTTCAGTTCCCCCACTTGCTGGGCTGGCGCCACAACACAAATAACAGCTTGCCTGGTCCTCTGGCTGCGATCCTTCATGGACTGTCCCGCTGCTACTACCAAGAAACGCTGCAGGTCAAGGTCGTTTCGCAGAATGGCCTTCGCTCCCTGCTAGGGGAACGCTTGCAAGGCGCTGGCTTTGCAGCTTCTTCATAGCAGGTGCCACTCGTGGCCGAAGGAATGGAAATGCTTCTGCCTTCAAAGGGCTCGCGTGGGCAAGGGGTCCTCTCCAAAATACAGATCTTGATGAAATGATTATTTGATAGAAATGCTCTTGATCTGCTGAGCATTTCCATCTCTGTCTTCTCCAACTAATTCTGTTCCTCTTCCTTACCTTGCTTCTAGGCGAGGCGAAGGTAAGGAGAAAGAACCGGAAACAGAAATGGGCCGCATGAGCGGGAAGATGTCAGACTGCGCGCAGAAAGAAATGGCTCCTCAAAGTTGCCAAGGTAAATCTGAAACATGTGGTGAGCCCCGCCCATTGACAAATGCCGTTCCGAAGCGTAGGTAACACTTGCCTGAGGACGAAAAAAATTGCCGCATATGAGCCGGCCAAGGTCAGATCCGAGATTTCGAAGAGAACAAAACAATCAAACATTGCACCAAAGGAACACAATATCAGCGGCTGGCCAAGCCCAGATCCAAGATTTAGAAAAAAAAGAAACCCTAAGACCCTCCCTTGCAAGGCCAGAATAATGTTTAAATTTGGAGCCGGATGGCAAGTTTTTCATTGCCCCATATGAACACCTTCTCAATGGCCGGCAAGCCCAGATCCGAGATTTCGTGGGCGGCCGGCCAAGCCCAGATCCGACCGCTCTACAAAATCAAAAACAGAAAAAACTCAAAAACCGGAAAACACCGCCTAGGCACTTATGCATCCATCCATCCATCCATCCAAAGCCGTCTTCCATCCGCAATCCATCGTGTCCATCCAGGAACACATCGTGCAAAGCACCGCCCAGCATCCTGGAGCTCACCATGTTTTTGATCTACGCGTGGACCTTTCCTCAAATGTTTTTCCCGCGAAATCGTCGCGCAGCTTCTAAATTGCTGGCAGGCCGTCTCCACCAGTTGTCCACGTTGTAGACCGACATGCGGCGCTTCAATTTGGTCTTGAACGTGAACCTTTGTGCTTTTGATTGGGGCTTTGTCTTCTGGAAGTGTAGTATAACCATCCTCGGAAAGATAAAAATGCTCGAACGACTGGAAAACGATTTTGGGAAGGGTCCCCGCGGTAAGATAGAAAAGTCAGTGGGAACGATCCCTCGTAGACTACTTTAGTATAGCGAGCCCCCCAGCGAGAAAAAGTGATCCCTTGGGACGCCAAAAGAGAGATTCTGTCTTTGCGCGGAGCGAATCCCGAATCAACCCTCTGCAGAAATGTCTCGTCCCGCCAAAAGATAGAAACTCCCCGGTCACGGAAGGTCTGGAAAAAATGCGCCTCCGAACAGCAAAGCGTGAATTGCGGGCCCAAGTATTTTCGAGGCCTTCTGCGACTGGCGAGTTTCTATTTTTCCGCGGGGCCGCCAAAACCTGAGCGTTGCTTCCGTTTTCGCAGAAAATACCAAGTTCAATAATGGCAACACTAAATATTGTAGCGGCAATACTAAATTAGGTAGCTGCAAAACTAAGTCTGTACTGGCGATGCTAAATTTAGCACTGGTGACACTAAAACATTTCTGGCGACACTACATTTAGCAATTGCGGTACTGAATTAAGTGGTGGCAATACTAAATTAAGTAGTGGCAACGCTAAATTTAGTATGTGCTGGCAATGCTAGGTTTAGTACTTGTAATATTAAATCTCACGCTGGCAACACTACATTAATCTTCGCAGGACTCGCTCTGCACGCCCTGCGCGGTTTCAAAGTTAGCAGCTCCAAGGAAGAAGCAAAAGTTTCTATCTTTGCGCAAGCCCTGTGTTTTTCAGGCCTTGCGAAAAAGATAGAAACTTTTGCAACGGGTCATGGCCTGAAAAGGTCATATTATCTGCCCGCCTGTGGAAAATCTAGTCTTGCAGTAACTAATCCAATATTGCCAGTACTAAATTTAATACTGCCAATAGTTAGTTTTCAGCGAGGATTTGAACTGTTTAACTTCCTTAGGGTAGCTCTGAGAATTCACAATCACCCCTCTGCAGGTTCCAGGGAAGGATCCAAAAAGCTTCTATTTTTGCGCAAGCCCTGTGTTTTTCAAGCCTTGCGGAAAGATAGAAGCTTTTGCTACGGTTTATGGCTTGCTTGCTAATCTTAAATTTAGTATTGCCAGCACTAAATTGCGAATGGCCAGTACTGAATGTTTTAGCGAGGAATTGAGCTGCTTAACTTCCTTACAGAAGGGGGGTAGCTCTGATTCGCGCCTCCGCAGATGCGTTGGTCCCGCGCAAGAATAGAACAGTTTCGCTTTGTTTGCAGTTGCAGGGAAGAATCCAAAAAAAAATTCTTGAGGATTCCCAGCGCTAAATTTGAATTGCTCGTACTAAATCTATTCTTGCTAGTCTCAATTGTGCGCCCCCAGAATTGAATTGAGCCTTGCCAACACTACATCTAGTACTGCCAGCACTAAGTTTTTGTATTGCCAGTACTAAGTGTTGCATTGCTAGTCCGAACTAAATTTAGTGTTGTCAGTATTAACTTTAGTATTGCCAGTACTAAACTTAGTAGTGCCGCAACTTACTTTGTTATTCGCGCGAAAACGGAATCAACCCTTTGCAGGTTTTTGGCGGGACGGCGGAAAGATAGAAACTCTCCGGTCAAAAGCCCTGTGTTTTTCAGGCCTTGCAGAAAGAAAGAAATTTAGCACGCAGTACCTAATCCAATATTGCCAGTGCTCGGTTTAGTATCGCCAGCACCAAGTCGAGCATTGCCAGTACTTAGTTTCTAGCAAGGGTTGAATTCTTTCCTTACTAAAAACGCATTCTGCAATGATTTTGGGCTTCCAGAAGCGAGGGGTAGCTCTGCGGGCCCCCTCTGCACATGCCCCGCGCAAGAGTGCAACAGTTTCGGACAGAGCTTCGTTTGCAATTCCAGCGAAGTTTCTATCTTTCTGCAAGCCCTGTGTGTTCAGGCCTTGCGGAAAGATAGAAACTTTTGCTACGGCTCATGGCCCGGGAAAGTTGAATTATCTGCTCGCCAATACTAAATTGAGGATCGCCAGAATTAACTGTAGTATTATTAGTATCAATATGAAATCTAGTATTGCCAGTACTGAATTTAATATTGCCAATACTACATCTAGTATTGCCAGTACTAAACTTAATGTTGCCAGTAGTAAATTCAGAATTGCCAGTACTACTTTTGGCATTGCCAATACCAGATGCAATTTTCCCGCAACTAAATTTAATATCCCCGCGAAAACAGACCCTACAAATCAAAAATAGATTTTTTAGATTCCCAGGCAGGAATCCCTGCATATACACATGCGAAGCCAAAAAGGATAGATTTTTAGAATCTCTGCTAAAAATAAATTCCCACAAGCAATCATGTAAACCAAACAGATTCCGTATCCATCTTGGCGTCGTATGTTTAAAAACACCTCGTATTCAAAAAATCGTATCTATCTGCGTATCTATTTATACGTAACCGTATCTATTTTCAGCACCGCGTGTCAGCAGAATAGATACTTAGATACGTCCCTGCTTTGCAAGAATAGATGCGGAAAGATGCGGATAGATACGGGCAGTTGCAAAATAGATACATAGATACGTGCGCAATACATTTTTATTAGAAATAGACACTTTTTCGATATTTCAAGACAATGGATACGCCCAGCTATATTTTTAAATATTAACAGATAAGGGAAATATTCAAAGAAAGCTCAAAAACTAACTTCCGCATGGTCGATGTTGTCCAAGGACAAAGCTGGCAAAGGACTGGGTAACGCGAGCGGGAAGACATGACCTTGCGCGTAAAGTCGGCTCCTCGGAAGACGCGCAGACCTTTGCTTGACAGAAGCGGCGACGGAGCGGTCTCAGAGCAGTTTCGGCAACGGTCCAGTGACATGAGCCAAATGACAGGGAAAAGTCGACATAGCTCCGTGGCTTAACTTACGGTTTTCAATTTGGACGCGCGCGCTTGTGTTTCGGTAATCACGCATCGCGCTCCAGCACGCCTAGCCAAAGAAGCCGAAGCATAACTTGCAAACGCATTGAGTGTCCTTTAGGCACGCCCCTCCAACCAGGCCCCCATCAAAAGTCGGTCTCGCACGAAGCTCCTGGGCAATTTTTTTCACGTTGCGCTCCAGCATACCTAGCCAAAGAAGTCGAAGCATAACTGGCAAACGCATCTCAATGTGTCCGCACTTTTTGGGTGTACTCCGACGAGGCCAAAAACAAGCAAGTAAAGGGCTTGTGGCCAGTTGTGTCTAAAAGGACATTCAATGCATTTGCAAGTTATGCTTCGGCTTCTTTGGTTAGGTGTGCTGGAGCGCAACGTGTACAAATTGCCCAGGAGCTTCGTGCGAGACCGACTTTTGATGGGGGCCTGGTTGGAGGGGCGCATCTACTACAACTACCGTCACCTACCCGTAAGCCGGCGTATGTGCAAACTTTAGAAAGCGCGAGCAGCTATACTTTGGATGCCTTCCTACGCAAGGCAAGTGA